CAAAGGAGGATGCTGCCTCTGTAATCAAGCCTTAATTCAACATTACAACCCAACGCATGGCTTTCCCCATTAATAAGGTCTGACAATGGACGCATTCAGGAACAAACACTTGCAATTGGTAGAAAAACATCTGGGCTAAAACATAAATTTGGAACGTCTACCATCCTCAATCCCAGGGCCGAGTTGAAAGGATGAATCAACCTTGAAAAGTAAACTCTCTAAAATCCTGGCAACGAGTAAATTGAATTGGCTACAGCATGCCTATTGCCCTGTTGTCACGCAGGCACTCTGTTAACCGCATTCACCATTTCTCCCCATACGAAGCTGTTTTATCAGGAGGCCTATGCCAACCAGGGAACAGGGTGGTGCCTTTCCACAAAAGACGACTCCCCAACACCCCCAGTGCGGGTGAAACTGGAACAATTGAGAGAATTTTCTAGTTTTTCCAAACAGGTTGAAGGAAGTCTCGACCTCTCGAGAAGAGCCTCGAGGATCCTCCTGCCTGGGTCCGAGGAAGGTGTTCAAAAGGAAGTGGAACGACCCCGCTGACCGGACCCTTTGAAGTGGTGGCCGCACTCGCAAAGCTGTTCAACTGAAGGACACGGAACAAGGGTTTCATCTCTCTCATAACGTGACCATCTGACCCACCCTCCGTAACCCGCTCACCGTTGGACAGTGACTCACACACTCTTACACTCGCTCTTAATATGTTGCCTTTGTACAGGGAGCCCTGGCCCACGACCAAAAGAGGAGAGCCATCCTATTGGCTATCGCTGCAGTTGGTTGGCGTGGGTCCTGGGAATTTTAAACATGGAAGTGTTAGAAAAACACACAGCTAAGAGACAGTGGCCAAGAACTTGTACACAATCCAGTCTTTGGTCCAATAAGACAGACAGAAATAAAAGACCATAGGAGAAGGCAGCGATAGAGACTCTCTACCTACGGTTGTGACCAGTAAGAATGCCCGTTGGGTGCACAATTACAGCCCACATACAATGGCAACATCTCTTTTCCCTTATCCTTTCGACCTGACTACACACACTACCTGTTACACACCGACAACCGTAAATATGAGAGACATGGAAAAAGCTTTAGAGCATCGGTGGACTGCATCCTGTGATCTTGGGATTATGTTATATCCAATACAGTTCCTATTGGGGTTATAATAAATGACCACAGATTGAAAGGGACGAGTGATTTCTGACTACAGACCACTCACAAACAACGGTGCTAATTCACTGTGGAAAAAAATTGGTGGATTGATGTGAATGGGACTTAACGTTATTGGACATTATCCAGGAGACAATAAGACAATGGATTTCCCAATTGCCCTACCCAGGACAAGGACTAGACAATGAGGCCATAGATAGTGAAGTATGGCAAGAACAAACAAAACGTACGGTGACAGCTGACTGGACTGTTTCTGAATTGTTAAAACAAGCAACTGGTTATGGGGATAGAAACCTTTGTTTGTGGACCGGTGACCGACAAGTCAGCGGCTGCTGGCCTTGACGATTGAGTTGTGTGCTCCACTGCACGTCCCACTTTGTATACAGCCCCTGCTCCACTTTTCCCAGAAGATGTAATGGTTATAATTGTATGATAAAGTTTGTTTTTGGCAAGAAAATGACCTGACTGAGGAGACAAAGACAGTCCCTAGCAACTGTTCATGTATGAAGAATTGTTTCCAGAATTGATTCAGAAATTCAGCCCCCTATGTTTTCCACAGGAGAAGCAATTACACCTGTTTCACTCACTCATGGAGGACGAGGCCCGCGTCTCCAGTGGGGGTTCCTTCCAGCAGACGGTGTGTCAACAACGTGACCTTGCCCAGCCGGTCCCCATGACCCGACCAGAGGTAGATTTGTATGGTTGTGTGGAGATTTAAAAACTTAGACATAGACTAATAAATAATTTTAACAGGCATTTGTTCAATGGGTGCGATTAATGATGCCCATTCCATAAATGGCCAAAAGCATCCCTAACAGTCCCCACCCACTGCATAGATTTTAAAAGAGCAATACCATTCCAAGATACAGGGAAAGATAAACCAACTTACATGGACTCTATAGGTGTTCCACGTGGAGTCCCTCAGGAAATTCAAACAGGTAGATCAAATTGCAACAGTTTCGAAAATAATCCCATAATTTCCGCTATTTTCCCTATCACGCCAAAACAAAAATGTAGATAGAATTAATTTCATTTGGTATACCAATCTTAGGCTTGGCCAATCAACACCAGGGACGCAATAGAGGATTGGCGGAGCAGCTGGGGGGCCACCTCTCTGGAAGCATTTCAAAACAGCGTGGGCCCAAGACATGCCTTATCCGAGAAAGGTGGGGTCCTGCAGTCTATTGGTACAGAATTTGTGTATACATTCCAAATAACACCACCAGATGGATCATTTCCAAAGCTCTGGCTGGTCTCAAAATGGCGTCAAGCAAATGCATGACGTTTCTGAGTCCCGGAAAACCCACTGAGGCGTGGCTGGACAGCATCTTGGGAAGTGGAAGCATTAATTTTGTCTGTTATCACAAGCCTTGCGGCCATCTTTGCAATAATAATTTGTAGGATGTTGCAGTATCCCCTTGTATACGTTTCTCTTTGTGTTAAAGCTATAGACAACGCTGTTCAACCCTGGACTGAAGGTCAAATGCTTGCATTGGATGAGGATTCCCCCGTCCGTCGCCTGAGGAAAGGTTATTGAGATGTGTGGCCTTTCTAATGAGGCCAAGAGGGAATGTTTGTATTTAAACTAAGAACATTTCTAAAACCCATGTGGTTTTAGAATGTCTATCGACCCCTGATGGCAGCCATTCCATTTAAGTTAATTTTAGGGGTTCTTCTTGGACCTGCCTAAATGACAGATGGTCATCTGTTTGGATTGCTGACTGTTGCATTATAACACCCCTCCATCAGGGGGGGTGGATGACACTGAGCCTGGCTAGTCTACCACTTTTTAGACCACAGAGATGGATCTCAGACTAAGAGACAGCTGGACCAAAGACGTTAGGCAGAGAGGCAATGATTCTTTTTCAGATGCAGACGGGAGAAGACAGATGGAGGGAGGCGACCACGGGACCCCGAAGCTGCTGATACACGCCCCTTTCTTCCCTACATTTTACTTAAGGAATTAGCTTGAATGTGTGAGTTAGAGTTTTTTTAGACTGGATCAGGGACAGCAGTGTGGAGTTTGCGTGAGCGCCCACCCAAACATACGTTATACTTTAATATAGGGAAGAAGGGGATAGTTAAAGGTTGGTCCAGGTCGTTGTTTTAGATTCTTTTTTGATTAGGGAAATAAACCTTTTTGATTAACTTTCTGATCCTGGTCATCTTATAAGGGATTTTGAACACGTCCAATTTTAATATAATAATCTTAGCCTCAGTCCTGATCAAACAGCCCCTTCGGCCCTGGGTCTATGGCCTCGGTCCCTGGTACTCAGCCTCGGTCCTGGTCACACCTCATCCTTGATCTAAAGCCCTCAGTCCCTGGGCCTACAGCCGCGGTCCTGGATCTACACCTCAGTCCTGCCTCCCTCTGGCCAATGGCTTTCTATATGTTTGTTTTATTATTGCTTTTCGTGTGTTTGAACTGTTTGCGATTCTCTGATCCTGTTGTTGGTGAAACCAACAACTTTGTGAAGTCTCCAGGACGACGCTGCCTGTGATTCGGTGATTCCACAACATTTAGAATTGAATTGAATTAAAAACATCACATAAAACAGCAGGATGAACAGAGTGCTGAGCCACGATTTAAGCCAAAATGAGATCCAGAGAGAGCGAGGAGCCAAACTTCACCATGAGCACTTCCCCGGGTAGTCCCTCTGTAATACTGTGCAGTGTCGGACCCTGGCTGCAGTACAACCTCCTCCTGGCAGGTGTGCAGGGGAGACGGACGTGTTTGCGTTGAATCCCAAATCTGAAAAAACCAGATGGTCACATTTCTGCACATCCAAAGACTGAGTTTTGCCCATACCTCTTTACAAACACTCTCCCCCGTTTTACTGAAGAAAAAGCAGTGTTATTGCTGTGAATACATGGAGTCTGGGTCTGGGTCTGGTCCTGGTCCCGTCCGGTCCAGGTCATGACTGGGTCTGGGTCTGATCTCACCTCTGCTGCTGCCTTCCAAGTTTGGAAGCTGATGTACAGGTTGAGTCGTCTCTGTCCCCCAACCTAATAGACTGACATGGTTCAGAACCTGGTCAGACATGGTTCAGACCAGGTTCCAGACCTGTCAGAACTGGTTATCTCGTTTTATGCGGAATCCACAGTGCATCAAAACTAAACAAACTAAGATAAGAGTCCAGAGGTCCAGTTGTGAAAATCTACTGCTACTAGCTACTAAATACTGCTACTACTCACTGCTACTACTACTACTGCTACTACTACTAATACTGCTACTACGACTGCTACTACAAACTACTCTGCTACTACTACTACTGCAACTACTGCTAGCTACTACTACTCACTGCTACAATTAACTTACTACAGCTACTCAACAGTTGCTTTTTCCCTGCCTCTTACATGCAACTACTGATTGTGTCTCAGGTAGGTTCTGTTTTCTGTGATCGATGAGTCTGGTTTCAAATCATTTTGAATTGAACAGAAGAGTTTGTATATGTGTTGTGGTGTGTGTGTGTGGGTACCTGCAGAACCACAAGTCCTGGTCAATCCCTGAGAACTGGTCCTGGATCTGGTCCACCTGCAGTGGCCAGCCTCTCTACCACCTGTCTGAGAGAGAGACCAATGTAAACATAACCATACCGACCCATTGGACCAGACCCATATGGACCCCGACCCATGAGGACCCAAGACCCAGAGGAACAGATCCCTGAGGAGCAGACCCATGTGGACCAGACCTATGTGGACGCAGACCCATGAGGACCAGACCCATGTGACCAGACCCATGGGAACAGAACCATCGAGGAGCAGACCCATGTGGACCAGAACCCAGAGGACCAGACCCATGAGGACCAGACCCCATGAGGAACAGATCCATGAGGAGCAGACCCATGATGGACCAACCTATGTGGACTAGACACATGCGGACCAGACCCTGTGACCAGACCCATGAAGGATCAGACAAGGACTTTACTATGGCAATCTTGTTTCCGCTGACAAGGTGCAATGGAGCGCTGGTCTCCATGGCGACAGGCATGACTAAGACGCAGCGAGAGGCGGGAATCCAAAATGATCTAAAGAGGAAGTTTATTTATGAAGGCCGCACACACACACTCACATTAAAGAGACAGGACCAGGCCAGACCTTGACCAAAACCCAGACAGGACCAGACCAAGACCAGACCACGACCAGACCCAACCCAGACTTGGACCTAGATCCTGACCCTGACCCTAGACCAAGACCCGACCCAGAACGCAAAACCATGGTCAGGACGCAGTGTCAGGAACAGACCCAACTCAGCTGACACAGACCCAGACCAAACCCAGACCTGACCCAGGACCTCCGTCCAGCTGCAAAACCTCCTCTTCTCCTTCCCTCCTCTCTGTGTCCTCCTCCACACTCACCTCCTCAGGCCTGTCTCCTCTCCGTGTCCTCCTCCACACTCACCTCCTCAGCCTGTTCTCCTCTCTGTGTCTCTCCACACTCACCTCCTCAGCCTGTTCACCTCTCTTTCTCCTCCACACTCACCTCCTCACCTGTTCTCCACTCTGTGGACCTCCTCCACACTCACCTCCTCAGCCTGTTTCTCCGTCTCTGTGTCTCCTCCACACTCACCTCCTCACCTGTTTCTCACCCTCTGTGTCTCCTCCACACTCACCTCTCACCTGTTGTCCCCTCTCTGTGTCTCCTCCACACTCACCTCCTCAGCCTGTTCTCCTCTCTGTGTCCACCTCCACAACTCACCTCCTCACCTGTTCTCCTCTCTGTTGTCCTCCACACTCACCTCCTCAGCCTGGTCTCCTCTCTTTGTCTCCTCCACACTCACCTCCTCAGCCTGTTCTCCTCTCTGTCCCACTTCATCTGAGTCCCTCCTTCCTTAAATCTCCTGTCTCCTTATATCCTTCCCATCCTCCTCTGCGTCCCTTTTCGCTGCCACGTTCAAAAACACAAAACACAGAAACTCTTTTGACTCTATTCCCCTCCCACAGAATCCCTCCCCTAGACCTGGTCCATCCAACAGTACCTGGTTCTGTTCAGACCTGGTTCAGTCCTGTCATATCCACCTAGGATCCAGAGCCGTTGTGAAAGCATGACACACAGTAGACCCTAGCGTCCCCGAGAAGAATTAAAGCTCAGGTCTGTACCATTAGTCTCATTAAATAACACATGTTTAAAGCTGGGTCTGTAACTTTAGAAGTTTAATAATAACACATGTTAAAGCATGGGTCTGTAACTTTAAGTTTAATAAATAACACATGTTTAAAGCTGTCTGTAACTTTAACACAACATCTTGTTTCATCAGGAAGCCCTGTGATCACTATCTGCCACTTTTGGGCTGAGAGCTGATTGGCTGAGTGAGGTGGACCCCTCTCTTTGATCCAGTTATCAGAAGTACATAGCCCAGCTTTACATTAGTAGGTTACGTAATAAGAGAGAACATAGTGAAGGGTTTTAAAGTGGGGCAAACACTGCTCCTCTGTGCCGTTGTAATGGTGAGTGTGAGGCGGCGCCCCCTGCTGGTGTGTGTGTGTGTGTGTGGTTTGTGTGTGTGTGTGTGTGTGTGTGTGTGTGTGTGATTGCGTCACCATCAAACAACTTAAAAAGATGAGGGAAGCCCTGTAGAGTAAACTAATGGAACTTGAGAGAAACGTCAAAAAATAAATAAACTTCCAGAAGTTTGGCACACCACAATCCGTCTCTGTCTGCATAAATCTAACAGCTTTGAATGTTCCGTGTGGAAGAATGCGCCGCCTCGGTTAGTGCCCCATTCTCTGGATAGATATGAGGGAGCGTTTATGCACTGATTTCCTTTTCCTCTGCCGTGCGAGCCCGGCAAGCTGAGTCTGGGAGCGGAGATTCACCAGGCCTGGAAGAGCTGTTACCTGGAAGCTTCAAGTCGGCTTCTGTCACTGTTTGAATTTTATTTTTCACATTGACGATACCGACGCGGCACACGCGTTGCCGGGACCTCACGGACAGCCCGTTGCATGCACCTCGTATTAGCCAAGCATCCGGTCAAGCACGACCCCTTTTTAATCATGTATCCGTTCTGCATACTTGGAAACTAGCTAAGCTATGGGGTGTAGTAATTGAGGACTGTCCGAACCTCTCTCAATAGTGTTCAACTAAGTGAGGTCTCTCATAAGTGATAAAGGCCATAAACGTGAGTGAAGGATCCATAAGTGAAAGGGCCATTAACGTGAGTGAAGGATCCATAAGTGAAAAGGCCATAAAGTGAGTGAAGGATCCATAAGTGAAAAGGCCATAAAGTGTATAGGATCCAAAAAGTGTTGGCCATAAAGTGTATAGGATCCATAAGTGAAAAGGCCTAAGTGAAACCATGGTGTAATAATAAAAGCAATTTTTAAAAAGGGAAAACGTGTTAAGGAGGCCTTTGTTACAAAAGCTTTGAAATTGACGAATTTCAAGCTGATAAATGACAAAAGTACATAAGCAACAATATTTCAGTGATCACGGTTTAAATTACATACAGAAAAAGGGAGTTTTTGTTTTTTGGAGTGAACAGAGTTCACCGGAGAATGCAGAGTTTTATCTAAAGTTGAGCTATGAGAGCTTTCGTGAGTTATTTACATTTTTTGCCGAGTTTTATCTACAGTTGAGCTATGAGAGGGATGTATCCAACAGTTGTTTTGTGTTTTTTAGAAAGAGATTTTGAGTTTAAATTAGTTTGCTACCTCGATAAAATAGAAGCGTAAACGTCAAAGACAAGAGTGCCTTTTGTTACTAGTGTGGAAAGTGATCACTTCTAGATTTGGATGACAAAAGTATAAAGAACAACATAAGTTATATTCGCTTAACAAAGTAATCTTGAAAGTTCTTCTTCTGTGTCTTTCTGCCTGTGTGTGCGCGTCTGTGTGAAAGGAACCCCCCCGCCCTCGCTGCTGCTGAGCTGCTGCTCTGATTTAAAGGGGAGCTACTGCTTTAGGACTTTTGGCTTTTCATAGTAGTTATTCCGTTAAATTTGCTAAATTTGCCATTTGAACATTGTGTTAGACACAGTTAAACGTTTTTAAACACCATTAGGGAATAGAAGTTTTGAATTAGTATGTTTTTGAAACCCAAAGATTAGTACAAAAAGCTTTGCTTTTCTTTTTAAATCTGCTGCTTATTTTGTGAGTCCATTATTGTATCTCTGATATATTTCATAGCTGTTTGTGAGAATTTTTTCATGTATTTTTTATTTTAGTTCAAAAGCCGTTTTTCAAACATTTAAATTAGAATCTGTTAAAAGTGATTAATGATTGTAGACTTCGTCTAAAAAAGAAAGAGGGAATTAGGCTGTAAAAGTATTATATTATTAAGTTAAACTACCCAATTCACATGCAAGTGGTGACTTTTGTTTTTGTTTTGACTACACGCCTGACCTTGTTGCTCCTGCTGATGCCACAGCAGAGGAGACTGGTCTAAAATGTGCTCCAATTCATACTGACTTCATTTGAAAAATGCTGCAATTATTTTAAATTAGTAGAATAGATGCTGAGATAAATAAGTGTAAAAGGGAAAGTCCATAAAGTGAAACCCAAGATGTTCAAGATTAAAAACATCACACAGTACAGAAGTACAAAATAGAATACATTTTTTAAAGTTTAAAAGGTTTAAGAGATTTGAGTCTTGTTTTTTATATTGAGAGTTTCTGGTTTTAAATGTCATCATTAGTAAGATAATAAGTAATCTTTATTTACATAGCGCTTGGGAAAACCCAGAGCGCTCAAATTGTTTTGACTTCAGAGAGAAAAACAATCTCATTCGCATACTGATATCTATTGTTTTTTTAAATTGGCTGTTTCAAGGATTGTTTTTCAGACTCTGGCACACTGTGGGAGAGGTCACTGCTGGACACTGGACAGCGCAAAGCCCACCCAGCCACAGGTCACAGATCAAAGAGCAAAGGAAAATGCCACCTCCTTGCCCCTCCCCACGCCACTGCAGAACTGAGTGGGTGTGAGAGAGACCGGGGCCATGAAAGAGAGGTTTCTGGAGACATGATGGGTGGAGCGTCAGGTAGAGACCTAGAGGGAATTGAAAGTGTGTCCAGTTGGTTTACATCACCACAGTGTGACCTTTGAGACCTACAGGTGGTTCGTGGAGTCTGGAGAGACAACCCCAAAATTCATACACACACACATACACACTCATACACTCACACATTCACATTTACATATAGATACATGAAAAAGCAGAACATGAGAAAAAAGCATTTTAAAAGTTTACTCCAATGTAAACACATTTTTAATTGTCTATCACTTGAATCTTTATTTGAATCAGTATTTTTTGAGACCAGAAATGTTCATTTGAATTCTATATTGTCATGGACTAATTGACCTCTGTCCTGACACTTTTGATTTGTTGATTTTGTACTGTGTGAAGTAATTACATTGATGAGGATTAGATCTGATAAAAACACAAATTAGAGAAGTAAACTGAATAACTGCGCTTGCTTTTGTCTGAGAGACATTAGCAACAGCATGAATAGAAATTGTGTTAAAGTAGAATCAAAGTGACTTAACCATAGAGAGTAACTATTGCATTACAAGCTGTGTACAGGAACTGAGACACTGCACCATTGACCAGAAGTGCATCCCAAGTGACCTGATGTGCTTCAACTGAAAAGACTGTATCTGGAGATCTGATGTACCTGGAGTGACCAGAATGAATCTGGAGTGACCAGAACCATGGCTTGGACCCTACTGATGTCCAAGATGACCTGACCTGATGACGACTGAGACTCACCCTCAGGGGACTCTGAGGACCCTGAGGACCTGAGGATCTGAGGATCTGAGGACCTGAGAGAGAAAACTGGGGAGTGATGTTTATATTTTTGAAATCATACATTGATGAGTGCTAAATGAGAGAGATACTCATGATTCTTTCTTTTGTTTTTGTTTGTCCCTAGCTTCTGGACATCTGATGATCTATTGGACACAGCCATTTGCAGAACAAGAACCAGCCAATGAAAAATCGTCTATTGCCGATGCTTTTGCTACAACCAGAACCTGTGACAAATGCAATATACATGTTAAGTATTCAGACATCTGACAGACAAAAACTTTGAAAATGATAAAGTATGATTATTGTAGCGTTTTAGTAGATGTCAAATAGTAGTAAAAAAGTAGAATTGTCCTTCCTTTGTTTTTCATAAACACATTTCCACATAAGAGTTAAAATAGTACCCTACAATGTTATCCTTTTGATAGATCAGCTATAATATTAGAATCAGAGTTATGTTACAGCCATTAAAAGTGACAGAAGTCACAAATTAGGAATATGCCTTTGCTCAAACTGCAGCCAAACTTTGGAGTCACAATAGTGTAAAAATAGGAATAGATAAATGCATCAACCATAGATGCTTTCAAAAATAGAGATTATTTGTAGCCAGTGCTAATATCAAATGGTAAAGGGACCATTTCACAAGCATTTACTTCAGAAGTAGATAAAGTTAATTACAGTTTTATGTACAGTTTTATTAGATACTTGCCAAATTCACTTGTGTTCAAACATCGGTGAATGTTGACAATACAAAAAGTTCATATGAGTGTAGCCTAGATTAATGCCTAGATCAATGAGATAGATTACAACCAACAGCGATTCAAAAGCATTTAAAAGCATTTTGATGCATTTGGGTATAGCACAAAAACACAATAGTAGATATTTAGATATTGAGAAGTTTCCAGCACAAACACCATTGTAGAATAACTGACCCCAACCCCAAACCTGCTCAAATAGATTAGCTCTTGTAAGGATAATACTAATTTGATTAATGATGTACATTCATCCCAAACTGCCTGACAATAATATCTTTAGATAATAAAAAGTAATAAATCACTGACCACTATAGAAGTGTAAATGTTGACCATTTGCC